GTCATCTACAAGCTTTGCAAGTGGGAAAACCTGAAAAATCAACAGTGGATCAAATACTTGTTCTCCCCACTGTATATACACACTCAGTGACCAGTCAGAACCCCCGGATCAGAACACCTGTTTGTGAGCGATTGTGAACATGCGTGTATATACAAGATTTCTCCAATGGAATATCTAATAGTGACTGTGGAGGACCGGAGACCCAACCCCCAAGACACGAGGCAGACATAGGGAAGACCAGAGCCCAAGGGCCCGAGACGGATCCCGAGCGCAGAGCCCGAAGTGGCACCCGCACGGGAAGATCTGCCCACCCACCTCCCAGATCAGACCATAGGGAAGAACTGGGAGAGTCCCCCCAGTGACCACACGCACAGCCCCCGGGGCTAGCAGCGACANTGTCAGAAGTTTGAGAAAAGTCATTTGGTTGGTAAACTTTGTTTAACTACCCAGTCTGTTAGTTGTCCTCATCAGAGTGGAAAATTAGAAGTTCTATATAAAGGATTTAACATACAAAGTTAAAAACAGCTTTTATTTTGAAGGATTATTTTGACCATTGAGGTGTTTAGGTTGCTACATTTTTTGTAGTATTTCAGGGTCAGGAGTTTCTCCACTGGAAAGTTGCTGTCAGAGAACTAACACAAGGGGGAGCTCTGGTTCTCATTATTTAGCCATCTTATCCTGTTTTCATGGATTTTGGGTACAAATGAGAGAAATGCTAAAAGCACAATCCACTATGGTGCTACTGTGCTGCTGACCACACTTTCAGTCACAACTGGGAGTAGATTTAAATGCATCAATCATCCAAATTTACACTCAGAAAATGTAAACCTTTCTGTAATTCGCTGAATTGAAAGACWTGTTTTAAAAACCAGAAAATCTTTGCTAGTGTTGTCAGTGTTGTATAGAACTGTATTGAAGAAAGAGCTGAAGGAAAGACTGAAACTTTTTTTCTGCACGAAAATATGTTTTGTTTTTCTAATATCTTCAAGTGTTTGTTGTACAACAGGACATGAAACTGTCAGAAACTGAGGGTCTGTAGAGGCCAAGCAAAAAGTACATGTAAACTGAGGAAATGCGAGGGTTAGATTTGCTTGTCAGATTGGAGTGAATGGCATGCAAAGAATGTGTGGTGTATGTCTATGTAAGGATTACTCCCACTGTAAGTCAWTAATCATTAAAGTCATGAATCAATTCAATTAGTGGCCAGGAGAGAAAACAGCTGGGTCTCTTTTTTGTTGCTCTTTTTTCCYATCATGTTTTCTGCCCAACATTTCTTAAAGGAATGCATTCTGTCTGTCCAAAGTGGAGGATGCTGTTATCTTTCTGCTCTATCAGAATCATGTTCTGTGGGTTTTCCAGGGCCTTCGACACCATCCAGCCTTCTTCAGGATGTGAAGCTGCTGTGTTCTGATGTGTACTGTCTCCTGGTTGCTGATTATCTGACATGCAGGCCTCAGTTTGTGTAACTAGGGAGGATCCTGCCTGATGTGGCGATCAGTAACACAAGAGATTCACAGGCGATTTGTCTAATTATGTCTRCTAAAAACCTTACAACTATTTCCTTTTTCTGAGGCACTTTGTTAGAGAAGAGATGGTTGGATAATAGGATTTTGACATGAATACAAAAAATCCAGAGAGTAAACGGGATATCTATGGAAGCTACTTGAGAGGTCAAAATAAATAAAAAGTGACATGATTTAACCAAAGGCTAATTACCCTTGACTCACACAAAAGCCCATCAAGAATAATAGTTTTCTCAATTTACCTTTACCTAGTAGAAAGATGKTCTTTAGCTTAGACCAGGGGTGTCAAATTAATTTTCACTGAGGGCCACACGAAATTTTATGGTGTCCCCTAATAGGGCCAGTTGTAATCAACTTTGACATTTTGTGTTTAACAGAATAAACAGAACACGTCCCAATTCCTCATCTCGTTACAGCTGAGCACTACTAACAATAACTGAGCTGTACGTGGTATTTCCTGCATAGAAACAGTGTTTTTAACACATCTTATGTGTACATCTGACTAAATGTGAAATAAATGATACAGAAATACTATTCAAAGTAAAAGTAAGAGTTTTACTTACTGAGTTGTCTTCAATTCCGACGGGGAATTCACAGAATAATCAAAATACATTATAGGAGATTTAGTGTAAGGTCAATGCTGGCTTTAAAGCAGTTTGTTTTAAGACGTTAATACAGGGCTGTTCAACTAAATTGCTCTGGGGCCACAGTTACTCTAAATAGCAGGCAAAAGCAGTGGTAGTGACTCAGGGGCAGGACAAATGGACTGTACTTATGTAACACCTTTCTATCCAACCAGGATACTCAAAGTGCTTCACACTACAGTCTGTGTCCTCATTTACCCATTCACACAACACTCTGTTAGATCTCACTACAAAGCTAACTTGTACAAATCAATGTACAGAGACTAATTAGTGCTTCAAATCACATTCATACACTGATGAGACACACATCAGAGGCAGTGGGGGTTCAGTGTCTTGCCCAAGTACACAACAACTGAGACAACTGGAATGGGGGATCAAACCGGGGCCCTACCAGTTCTAGGACGACTTCCCTTACCACTCTGCAACAGCTGCCCCGCAAATATTATTATGGTGCGTTCACACCGAACGCGATTTCAGCGTCAGGAGCAGCAGGTTTACATACAAGGTCTATGGTGGACGCGCTTCAAGCAAC